TACCTCTGTCTAACCCGATCTGTTTCACTTACTTACCCTCCTTCCACTCCCATCAGAAAATTTTAAATTTTCATTCATGGAAAATTTGATGTGTCAATATTTCCAAACTAGACAGAATAGCGTCATGACTACTAGAACGTATGCCAAGGGAGGAGGGTGTTTAACCCATTCTGTTTCCTGCAGTGTCCACGGGGCGCGGAACACAGCCAGACGCTAGTAGCCAGTAGGCCTTTGAGTATAGTATAGTTATATTCAATAATAGAATTTATTACGTTGTAGCAAATATTTACCATGTCATAAAGATTTCTGATATTTATGTGAAATCAGTATAGTCACACTTTAAATTTAGAGGATGATTCTCACACAGAGAGTGGCATATAGAGGAAAACAGTGCTGTTTTGGGGGTAGCTCCTGGAGCCCCAACACAGAGCCTTGGGGGTGTTAGTGTCACTGGCACGGTGGAGGGTGTCTCTGCTGACAGACTGAGTCACAGTTCTGCTGCTTCTCACTGAGGCCTCAGCATCTTTCTTTAGAAAAAGGAAATGGGGGATGCCTGGGTGGCTTACTGGTCAAGCGTCTGCCTTGGGCTCAGGTCATGATCCCGGAGTCCTGGGATCCTGCGCTCGCTGCTCAGCGGGGAGCCTGCTTCTCCCTCTGCCTGTTGCCCCCCACCCCCGGCTCGTGCTCCCTCTCTCAAATAAATAAATAAAATCTTAAAAGGAAATGGAAATTATAGCACCCATTTTGTAGTAATTCTGGGGGCCCTGAAGGAGATGCACAGTGTGGAGGGACTTGGGGTAGACCAGGCAGGAATGGGTGTTCAGAGAGCAGTGGTTCATTTCCTGTGGAGAGTCTGTGGTTGGAGTTCAGGTTTCATTTAATTATAAGAAGGGGCTGGAAATGTCCTGTCGCCAGAGACCCCTAATTGACATGATTGCAAAGCCAGGGGCACAGGAAACACTGGGACATGGGAGGGAACCAGTGTCTGCTGCTGAGGTCCCCAAGGGAGAGACAAGCAGGACCCTCCGGGCGCTGACTTGGGCTCTGGCGTGCTGTACCTTCCCTTGGTGGAGGCTGGCCTGATTGCAGATTCTGCACAGCCGGCCTAAGGCAGAACCAAGGTGCAGGGGTTGGGGGTGTCCCCTGATGCTCCTGGGACCTGCCTTCTTGGTTGGGGTGCAGCACGTGACCAAGGAGACCAGGGCAGCCCCGGAGTGGGGGTAGGGGGACTAGCTTCTAGGATGGTTGGGGCAGGGGCTGGAGAAGGGAGCAGCAGCGCTGCTATGGGGCTAGGAAAACCTGAGCAGAGCCTAGCAAACCCTTCCAGTGAGGAAAATGGGGGGTGGGAGATGGGGTCTAGGAAAGAAGCCAAGGTTGGGGCCACCCCCAAACAAGGGAAAGGGAGACTGGAAGTAGTGGAGAGAAGAGAGATGAAGAAGCACAATTAGAGATTTAGAAGGAAGAATGTTGGGGGGAAGGTAAGGTGGAGGGGACTGCAGGAATCTCAGAGCCCATCCAGAACCCAAAAGGGCCCAATTCCCCCGGAGCTGGTACCTCTGGTAATTCATCTGGTAGCCACCAGGGGCAGTAGAGAGCCACCACACAGGAGTTGGGGGTGGTTGCGGAGGGGGCGGGGTGGGGGGGCGGTCAGCGTGGGACTGGGAGGGGCAGGGCTGACACATTGCGCAAGGCGGGTCACCAGGACCAACGGCCGAGATCCAGGGGCTCCTTGTGGCTTTCCCACTGGAAGCCGCTCTTTCTGAGGCAAGCGGGCTCTAGTCTTAACAAGGACAATGCCGTCCAGAAGTAACCGTGTGAGATTAGTAACTGGTGCCTTGCTTCCCATCTTAGGATCAGCATCGTTATCACAGTCATTATTATTTTAAGGAGGGGCCCTCTGTGCTTTGAATCCCAGGCTTACATCTCTGTCCGCCTTTCAGCTATACTTACCCTCAGGAGTTTTATTCTCCGTGGCAGTCATTGTCGTCCACTGATGGGGAAATTAAAACTCTCTGGCCTGGAGCGTCCATGGCTAGAACAACCTCCCTGGGCTTGATCAGTCCACAGGCTTGTTGATCTGTGTGTGTGTGTGTGTGTGTGTGTGTGTGTGTGTTTCTGGTTTGGGTGGAGGAAGTCAGAATGAGTTAGGGTTGCCCTTGGGGAAATATGTGTTTTTCATGGATTGAGTTGGATGGGCAGTGTCTCCAAGAACACGTCTCACTTCTTCCGCTCTGACCTTGCTGTGTGCACTCCCCCCAGCCCCAAGCCTTTGGGGCGTGCCTGGCCACGGTTCTCCTAGTAGGAGTCTGGATGTTTCTGGAACCCTCTGGAACCTTCTGGAACCCTCCTCTATCCCTCTAACCCTCAGGGATAGGACCCAGAGCCCTGTCAGGCCCCAAGGTGCTGTTTCAATTTTGCTTGGTGGAGGAGCCTGGCGTGCTGTAAACAGATTAGGGAATCTTTTATGGGAAAAGGCTTAGAAATGGCTTCCTCTCCATGGGTGGTATGGTCCTCTGGGGTGACGTTTCCTGCTGCTGGTGAGGTCACTCAGCCAGGGTCCCCGTGGCTCGCTCCAGACATCCGCCTGGCCTGCCTGGCTGCGTTCCTGTCTCGGGCTTGTGGGGATCTGTGTTTTGGGTTGGCCGGAGAGGGCCAGGATGGGGGGGTTGGGCTGAATCCTTCAGTCCGTTCTCTTGCCCTGATGAAGTTTGGCCTGACAGTTGTGGTTCTTGTGGGATGGAGGGCCTCCAGCTTCTGGGGGGCCTGGAAGTGACCCCGACCAGCTCAGCCATGCCACTGTCTCCATGCTGCGCATCCCTTCTCCCTGCAGCCCTCTGGGGTTACTCCATTTGCCGCCAGGAGTCACTGTGGAGTTCTTGGGACCCATGAATGCAGCTCCTGCCCACATAGAATTCGCTTTCATCTTGTCCGAGAAGAGCTGGCGTGCCCTCTTAGACAGCCCAGCTGACCTAGGAACCCAGCCTTCCAGGTGTTTGCTGCCCTGCTCCCAGCTGACTTTCACAGGCTCCAAGAGGGCAGAAGGTGCTGCTGGGTCTTCTCTGAAATCAGGTTGGTGGCATCAGCCACCAAAAGGGTTGGAGGAAATGGTCCCCAGGACTCGGCTAAGAGGCTCTGCAGCTGGAGACATCTGGGAGACGCACCAGGGCATTGACTCTAGAAAGTTTGCGCATTTGGAAGCAGGGGAGAAACGCAGTCTGGGAAGGCTGCATGGTGGAAGAGGCATTTTAGTTGAGACTTGACTAATGAATAGTATTGATTTGGCCATCCAGAGATGGTGGTGGGGGTGAGGGAAGGACTACAGCAAAGGCATGTTCCAAGACCAGCAGATGTGTGGGAATGGAGTCAGTGGGAGGTCAATGTTATTCTGTGTGCTGGGTGGGGGAGGAGCCTGCAAAGGATTTTCCCCCTGTGTGTATGACTTGTAGCAAGAGCAGGGCTCTGGGTGAGCCTGCCACCCCCTCCTCCCATGGGAAGCCAGTGAGCCTGCTTTTCTGGTCACTTCTGGACATGAAGGGACCTTAATCTCTCCCTACCCCGGGTTCTGGAGCCCTAAGCTCCTTAAACCCAAACAATGGGTTTAAGGTTTTTAAGCCCACTGATCAAAGCTGGAGGGCAGGAGTGTCGGGGCCAAAAAGACCAGTGAGCCCAACCCTTTCATTTCAGATGAAGAATCAGAGGACCAGAGAGGTGGTCTGACTTGCCCAGGGCTGCACAGCCAATGACAGGCAGAGCTGAGGCAGGAACCTGCTTCTCTTGATGGGGCACCCTCATGGAGAGAAGCCATTGAAAAGCTATGTTTATTTTTGTTTTTAGTCTCTGAGACCATCAAGATTTTAGTAATAGAATTTTTTATTAAATAATGTCACGTCCACATAATGGACTCTCTAAAAATAACTTTATATGGGTGTTTGGCATGAATACGGTGATTGCCTTGAGTGGGTACCACTATCGATCTCCTTTTACAGAGGAGGAAACCGAGGAACCAGGAGGACAGGGAGCTTGGCGGAGGTTCCGTGGGTGGGGAGAGGCAGAGCTGGGATTCCAACCCAGACAGTCTGGTTCCAGAAAAGATACCAAAGGGTTGATAGGGAAGACTTCTGAGCTGTGGAACTCTGGATACTACTTTTTTCTTCCTTTCTTTTTTTTAAGATATTGTTTATTTGAGAGAGAGAGCCAGCATGCATGGGGGGCGGGGCAGAGGGAGATGGAGAGGCAGACACCCCGCAGAGCAGGAAGCCCGATGCGGGGCTTGATCCCAGGACCCTAAGATCATGACCTGAGCTGAAGGCAGGCGCTTAACCAACTGAGCCCCCCCAGGAGCCCCGGATACAGCTCTCTTCTCTGTGTTTTTCTACATTGTCAAATTATATGGAGTGAGAAAGGATTGTTTTTATCACTGGATGACTTCATAAGAAGTCTCTGCTCTCAGGGGTGATGCAGGGGGAGGGGGGCAAGCCCATGGCTGCAAGTATTAGTTGTTTTCCTGGCTGGCCGGTGTAGCTGGGCATCTGGAGAGGGAGAAGCGGCCAGTGTGATGCAGGGGTTGTGATTCAGATGAAATGTGGGCCTGTAGCTAGGAAGGACTTGGGAAATCACCCCCATTTGACAGAGTACCCCTCACCCCCATCTCTGTCTAGACCCCATGCAAGGGCTCCTTCCTCTGGCTTGGGGGTTTTGGGTAACAGTGGGCACTTGGGAGAAATGCCCGGGCAGATGTGGAGTTGAGTGAGTTGGCAGCCTTGGGGGATTGGAGGGGGCGATGGGGGATGTTTCCGAGGGTGCCCCCTCGTAAAGAGAAACTGTGTTGTCATGGGATGAGGAAGGGGGATGACGTGGGTCAGAAAGCCAGCTCCTGCTTCCCAGGGGTTGGCCAGGAAGGTGGCTGGCCAGGTCTCTACGTTTTCTAGCTCTGCTCTGTGACCCTCTGAGATTTTGCCCTATGAGCCTCTCAAAGTGACTGTGTTTCTTTCTTTGACTAGAGACCACCTGGGAACGTCCCAGCAGTTCTCCTGGGATTCCAGCCAGCCCTGGCCCTCACAGGAGCTCTCTGCCTCCAACAGGTACAGTCAACTCACTCCTTTGGGGCAACTGTTGGTGGGGGGGGCACACAGACCCATCTTCCCTGGAAAAGCCAAGACTCTGGGTTCTGGGGTCTGGAACCTGGCTGGGGATCTTACTGGCCAAACCCAGGGAGCAAGTTAGAGGGCTAGGAGGGTGGGCTGACCCTGGCTGTGTCAGCAGCAACCTGACCCTCCCTCCCTATCAGGTGCTTAGGGAGGGAAGATGGCCAGGGGAGGTGAGACCTCAGGGCCGTAAACTGTCTGCTGATCTGGGTACCCAAAGTGGGGGGGCAGAATTTCCTGCACTGTTCGGAATGCATCAAGGAGTAAAAGTTAAAAGAGGCAGATTTTTACAGGGTTGCTTTCGAATAGAATGTTCTAGAAGGCACTTGGGATTGCTGGCAGGGTGTGAGTTCTCTGTCTGCAAAGACAATCAACCCTTCATCGGGGGGGGTGTTCTAGGCTGCCCTGGGCAACGCATTCCTGGAAAAATCACCCCCAGGGGTGAGAACCACTGCGCTAGGGGCAGGAAAACCTAACTAGTTCATACATAACTAGTACCAGTACTAGTAGTACCAGCTAACAAGGGCAGAACCACCCTTGTACTCAAGCTTCTGCAAATGCATGAGTGGTGGGGTTTCAAGTCTTTCCTTCAAAGACTATGCCAGATGCTTTTCTCGGTACCTGAGATCAAGTCACAGATGAGCCACACCAGTGTTTGGAATGGCTCCCAGGAACCCACGTTCTAGCAGGGGACTTGGGCAAACAAGCCAAGGCGAAATGTGACAGATTGTCCTTGCATGTTCTCATGCAAGGCATTAAAGTCAAACAGAGGGACAGAGTGGGATGGCAGAGTCAGGGATGGCCCTGGTGAGAAGATGGGTGTGTGTGCAGGAATGGGGAAGTGGTGGTGAAGTATTCTGGGCCAGGGAGAAGCCTGTGCAAAGCCCCTGGGGCAGGAGTGATGTTAGTGGGGTTTGGAACACAAAGCAGGCCAGTGTGGCTTGAGGGTGGGGGACAAGGGGGAGAGTAGTAGGTGATGAGGGGAGAGCAGTCAGCAGGGGTAGAATCTGCTGGACCCCCCCAAGCCTCAGGAATGTGGTGGGATTTTATCCTGAGCACAGCAGTTGGACTGAGGGTAAGAGTGACACGCAGTAGGGATGTCTTGTCTTCACGAGACACTACCTTCTCGAAGCTACCAGGCTGTACTTAGCTGTGTCAGGATGGCTCTTGGTTAAACAGTGATGGGCATTGCTTGCAGTGGAGGGTGGGAGGTAGGGAGTGAGAACAGCATGGAAAATTCCACCACATTCATCCTAGATGGTCGTTTCTGAAGAAGAACATGGAAAAGTAGATCAGGAAAGATATCCATGAGAACCCCTAAGGAAACCAGCCAAGGCCAGCTCAGGCAGCCTCCCCTTCGTGGAGGCAGAAGGGTGAGGAGGTCCTTGGTTCAACTCTTAAGTTGTAGCTTCATGAGCTCATGGAGAAGGCTTGAAGAGCACCTGTAGACAGCAATTGTTTTCTTGGTGCAGTTTGGTCGGACGCTGGATGCAGAGTCCAGCCAGGTGACCAGCCGGGGGGCGAGATCTGGGAATACACCCAGCACCCCCCCACAAAGAGGATTCCGCTCTTTGAGTGTTGGGTGCCACTTAGAGGGTTAGCACTGAGCTGGGCAATTTTCCTCCATCACCTCCTTGAAGACCACCAGCGTCGGGAGCTGTGTTGATCCCATAGCTTTACTGGAGGTGTTCCACGCCAGGTTTTCTGGGTGAGGTCCGCATAACTGTAAAGTTGGAGCCCAAACAGAAGAGAAAAGGCTCTATTCAGTCACTGCTGCGAATATTAAAAATAATCCTTGGGCTGATTTAATGTGCAGGGTGGACGCCGTGATTTACGGGCAGAGTAAAAAACAAGGTTCTAGGAGTTTCGTGGACATGTCACTGGGTAAAATGAAAGAGAGTGCAACCAGCGTGGTCCAGTAGAACTTTCCAGGATAACAGAAATGTGCTGTGTGTACGCTGTCGGCTGTGGTAGCGCTGGGCGCATGGCTGGTGGACACGTCAAATGTGTCCAGTGCAGCCAAGGAATGGAATTAGCTTAATTTTACTTAATATATTTTTTTATAAAATTTTGGAGTAATTTTAGGTTTACAGAGGAATTACAAAGCCGGTACAGAGAGTTCCTATATGCCTTGGCCTCAGTTTCCCCAGTGGTTAATATCCTACATGACTAGGGTACATTTGTCAGAAGTAGGAAACGAACGTCGTAGGTCACCGTTAACTAAATTTTATGCGGACGTCACCAGGTTTTCCCCTCATGTCCTCTTTCTGTTCTGGGTCCTAATCCTGGATACCACATGGCACTTATATTTTATTTATATCTAATTGGTTAGAGGGCGCCTGGGTGGCTCAGTGGGGTAAGCGCCGACTCTTGGTTTCGTCTCTGGTCATGATCTCAGGGTCCTAGGATTGAGCCCGACATCAGGCTCTCTGCTCAGTGGGGAGTTGGCACCTCCCTCTCTGTGCTCTCTCTCTCTCTCAAATAAATAAATAAAATCTTTTAAAGAAAATCTTGTAAAAAATAAATAAATATAATTGGTTAGCATTTAAAGAGCTCCCTATGACCGGCACTGGTCTCATCAGCTGGGGCAGGTGTAGAGAGCGAGTGAATTCCTTTCCAAGCTTCCCGCCCTGGGATGTGCATTTGAGCTTTTGTTTTTCTGTTTCTTAAAGGCGAGAGGAAGTCCCATCTTCTAGTGAGTCGCCCTGCTGGTGAGGGGGTGGGAGTTATCGGGAAGCCTGGGTTCACATTCTGGCTTTGCCCGGCCTGCGGGCTTGACCCCACTGAGGGACACTTAGCTGATGGGCGGGCCTCCAGATCACAGGGGAGTGAGCGAGGTCCCTTTGAGTACATGGATCTGCCAGACAGGAGGCGCTCTCTGCTTCCCAGGGGCCTCTGCTCAGGGGGCTCCCCCTCTCTCCAGCCCCAATCAAAAAACCCTAAACCAAAAAACCCTAACAGCTGTTCTCTCCCACATAGTTGCAAAGCAGGACCCTCCCTGGGTTCTTCAGAGTTAGCAAGTCACCAGGCCTAGAACATTTCCATGGCCCTTAGCCAGATCTCACCATTGACTCAGGAAAGGCCAGGGGCCGGGGCACCACCCCCTGGAAGGGGGCTCACATGTTCCTCACTGTGTCTCATCAACTCTGGCCCCAGAGATCTCACCGAAGCCCCGGACAGTAGCCACAGGCTTTCAACCATGTACAATCACGTGGGCAGATACATTGTGGGTTCTATTTTGGGGGATACAGTTTACATTCTAGACAGTTGGGGAAGACCATGAAAAACCAGGTGGCCAGACGGATGTTTCCAGGCCCAAAGATTCTAACGTACCACTGCTCCCCCAAGCAGAACAACTGGGTAGATGCAGCCTCCCTCAACCACATGGGCTATGGTGAGGGCGTGAGGCAGGGATCGTGCCCACGGGACCATCGGAGGTGCTGAGCACAACACTGGCCCCGGCACATGGTTCACCCGACTTCAAAACCCGCCTTCACACAGCCACACCTGTTCCCAAAGTGGGTTCTGTGGTATACTTGCTTTTCTGCCCCACAGGGGTTCTGCGTCCGTGTAAGTGTGGGAACACCACACACACACTGTTGCCTCGCTTGAGGTTCACCGAGCACATCGGCATGCACGAGGACCCATTTTGGTAGGGCTTCACAGATGTTGGGTTTTCTGCAGATGGAAGGTTTGGGGTCACCCCTCATGGAGTGAGAATGTCAGCACCATGTTTCCCAATGGTGTTTTCCCACATTGCGTCTCGGTGTCACATGTGGGCCATGCTCTTAATCTTTCAGGCTTTTTCATTCTAATTATATTTGTTGTGGGAACTTGCTCTGTGGTCGGAGATCTTTGATGTTACTGTTGTAATTGTGTTGGGGCAACCATAAGCCATGTGCCCTATAGGACAGTGAACTTCACTGATGAGTGTGGTGTGTGTTCTGACCGCTCCACTGACCAGCCATCCCCGCCCCCACCACAATCCTCCTCTCCTTAGCCTTCCTGTTCCCTGAGACACAACCATATTGAAATGTGGCCAATTAACCCCACAGGGGCCTCTAAGTGTTCAAGGGAAAGGAAGAGTCACGCGTCTCTCACTTGAAATCACATCCTGGAAATGGTTACACTTAGTGAGGAAAGTGTGTTGAGAGCTGAGATCGGCCGAAAGCTTGGCCTCTTGTGCCAAAGTGAGCCAAGTCATGAAGTTGTGAACGCAGAGGAAAGTTCTTGAAGGAAAGTACACTGCTGCTCTGGTGAACACACGAATGGCAAGAAAGAGAAACAGCCTTCTTCAGCGTGGAGAGTCTCTGTGGTCTAGACAGAAGGTCAAAACAGCCCCAATGTTCCCTTAAGCCAGAAGCCTAACCCAGATCAAGGCCCTAATGCTCTTCAATTCCATGAAGGCCGAGAGAGGTGAGGAAGCCACAGAAGAAAATTCTGAAGCTAGCAGGGGTTGGTTCAGGAGGTCTAAGGAAAGAAGCCGTCTCCCTGACGTGAAAGAGCAAGGTCAAATAGCAAGCCCTGCAGCAGGTTCTCCAGAAGACGGAGCTGAGCTAAGGATGAAAGTGGCTACACTCCCAACAGATCTTCAGTGTGGGTGAAACTGCCCTCTAGTGGAAGAAGACGCCACCTAGAACTTTCATAGCTGGAGAGGAGAAGTCAATGCCTGGTTTCAAAGCTTCAAAGGACAGGCAAGCTGACTCTCTGGCTAGGAGCTCATGCAGCTGGTGACTTTAAGTTGCAGCCAATACTCCTTTACATTCCGAGAATCCCAGGGCCCTTCAGAATGATGCTAGATCCACTCTGCCCATGCTCTATCTGTGCACAAACAAAGCCTGCACGACAGCACAGCTCTTTATGACCTAGTTTCCTGAATATTTTAAGCCATTGTGGAGACCCACTGCTCAGAAAAAAGGATTCTTTTCAAAATATGG